GTATGTGACCTGAACAGTTGTAAAGGACCCTGTGCTTAGAAGGGTTTAATGTTCTCTTGATATCATGTTGAAATTCTTAATGTTTTTGTTTGTTTGTTTTTGACAAAGGTCCTGGCATTTTCATTTTGTGTCAGACTTTGCAAATTACATAGCTGGTCCTGGTCTGTGTCCTTTTTGGAAGGTAGAAAACAGCTACCTGGGTCCCTCTAAGTCATTAGCACTAATAACTGGTCCAATGATATGGACCAATAATATCATCATTAACACTGCAATTTCCAAGTATAGCTGCTTTTCTCCATGGGTTGCCACCCCATTGCCCACTACTCCCTGCTACATTAAGTCCACTAGTACCCACCTTCAAGCTTGAGCATCGACTAGTCTGATGTCTCAATGTAGTGAACAAAAATATATAATAAAAAACACGATAATTTATTGGTGATGCAACAGACATTTGGAAGATCTGGTCGACCATGAGAACTTTGACCATCTGCCTTTGATCTCAAAGTTTTCAGAACAGGTTGGAATGCATGCACTGGGTAAATCTGGGAAAATCTCTCTGCCTGGGTCTGGGGTAGGGGAAGATAGGAAGGTTGTAGGGGAAAGTTGAGTCTCCTTCCTGGGTGCATCTTTTCTTGTCAGATCATGCATATTTTCAGGATTGAAAGAACCATATGCAGAAAACTAGAGAAGGTGTGTGGTCTTTGGAAGACTTTTTCCAGGCCACATCTTCCTCTTTTTCTCTTGGTTCCCAATGATTTAGATTCTTTTGGTTTTGTAACTGAGTGCTGTTAAATTTTTAATGAGTAACTTGAGGCTTTCATGAAAGACCATCATGAAATCCCATATGATACAATCACTGGGAAGTATCCCCAAGCTCTAAATTTGGACACACCTCATCACATATCTGAGCTTCTTCCCAGAATCACCCAGTGTCTCCCACTCCATCCAGGGCAAGTGATCGGACACCATGCCTGGCTCTGTGTGCATGATTTGGGTCACTTAGTAAGGGCATTCGGGATCCACCACTATAATCCCAAACAACAAATATAGCTTTGGAAATTTTGGTGTGATAGTCGGCACATGGAGGAAACTGTTTCACCTTGGAAAACTAAAACACTCCCCAAATTATAGGGAAATATGTCTGTCTCTTTAAAGCCAAACAGCTCTTTCACTGGCTCCACCCAATCTGAGCTTCTGGGCTCAGAGGTTTGAAGGGTGCAAACACTTTTTCCTCACAGTTAAAGCAAAAGCACTAGCTCGAAAAACTTCTTTGGAGAACACTCGGAACTCATCAGCTCATTCCAAAAATGGTGAGTCTGGCCTCATGCAATGAAGCTGTGAGGGGCAGCAGGACACAGGGATGTGCATGGGGTTGGGTGCTGGTCTGAGAGGGTATCAGGTAGTGGGCCAGCAGCCAGTATAGAGATTGATTGGCCAAATGTCCACATGTCTCCTATTTAACAGGACGAACTTTCTGAACATCATGTCTTCCAACAGGTTGCTGTCGTGACAGATATTGAGTCCTGCCTGATATCTCATCCATTTCCCTTCGTGGGAATTAGTGTCCTCAAGGCAGGTCTTTGGAGCTGGAAGGCAATTTAGTGATCAGTCTGTCCCAACCCCTTTTTCCTGAATCCCAGACAGCACGCATGTGGTTTGATCAACCTCCCGGGGATACCCAGGTCACAAATGGCACATGAAGTCTCTAATTCAGCTGGCTGTGTCCTTTGCAACATTTAAGGAAAGAAATGGTGTGATCGATAGTGTAACAGAGGAGGTAAGGAAGAGGTGCCATGGGGAGAGAAGGAGCTTTTTTATAGAAAAAATAATGTGCATGAAGCCCTTTGGTTGCCTTCTCTAATTCCAGGTTTGCTACCAGTTCATGTTTCTGGACAGAATGTGAATTACCTCTCCTTGCCTCCCCTGATCTATATATGATCCAATGTAAACAGAAATGTAAAATCAATGAC